AACTGACGATTCTTGGGGAAATGGGGAAAGGGGGATGTGGAAAGAGACTGAACATAAACTGTGCACCTATGGATGAGGACAATGGGGGTTGGGGAAAGGGCAGAGAGTGGGGTGGGAACCCGGTGGAGGAGAACAACGGAGGGGGGGGGGAGAGGAACATTTGTAATAATATGAACAATAAAGATTTATTTTAAAAAAAAAATCAACAAGGCAACAGAGACCTTAAATGACACAATGGGTCAGATGAATTCAACTGATATTTACAGAACATTTCATCCCAATCAGCAGAATATACATTCTTTTTAGCTCTACAATGCAACATTCTCTAGGATAGACCACATGCTAGGACACAAAACAGGTATTAATAAATACAAGAATATTGAAATCATATCAAACATTTTCTCTAACCACATGTTATAATAAAAAAAACTGAAAAACACTCTAACACAGGGAAGCTAAATAAATGAATGGATTAATAATGAGACCAAATTGGGGGATAAGGACACATATATAATACCTTAATCAATAAAGAAAAAAATGGGAGGGGGGGGGACAATGAGACCAAGCAGTGGACTGGTGGATTGCTTAGAGCTTCAAGCAGGCTGCTAAAAGTCAAAAGACTGTCTGGCAGTGGTTAACACCTAATGGGGAGTCCAGAATTGACAGACAAAGGAGTAGGGTCCTAAACCAGTTCCCATGGGGCACTTAAACTCCGCCAAAGGGAATGACACTTCATTTATTTAATTTTTATTTTTCTTCCTCCTCTTTTTCCTGTTTTTGTTCTCCCTTTTCCTTTTTAATTTTTCTCTTTCCTTTATTCCCCCCCCCCCGTTTTTAATGTATTTTGCTTATCTATCTGCTTTGCTGATTTATTATTCTAATCTCTTGTTTTGTTCATATATCTAATTTCCTCTTCCATGCTCCTATTTAATTTCCCTTTTTTTAACCACTGAATGTTTTTATTTTTTTTCAATCTTCTCTTTCTCTTCTAATGTCTTAACTTGTTTCACTTCCTTAATTTAGAGCTATCTGTTCTCTCTTCTGTTCTCCTTTGCTAGCTTTTTTTCTTCTTTCCTGTCTTCTCACTTATTTTTCTCCCTCCTTTATTCTAAACAGTGGTCCTTCCCCTATTCCACTAACTCTTTATTTTCTTTATTTTAATCTACAGATTCTGACCACACCCCTCCTTTTTTTTTCTGGGTGTTTTTATGTTTTTGCTTTTAGTTTTGTTTGTTTGTTGTGTTGTGTTTTCTTCCATATTCTTTTTCCCCCTATTATTCTTGCTCTCTTTTCTCTTCCAAATTCTCATCTCTTTGATGGCCATTTTAGTTGGGGCTATAGAGGTCTTATGTAAATTCATGCTCTGCTCCTCCTTGGTTGTGTCCTATCTTGTTAAATTTGTGCTGTTCAGTCAGCACCTTCACAACGGTAGGCATGACATGGTAAGGAGCGAATCACATAATCAGACACCGTGAGAGGAGACTCAATCAATGAATGGGATTAATATTCAAGGCCCAACTACATTAGGAGAACACAAATATTTCAAGCAGGGGCCCTCCCTAGAACACCTAGCACAGTAGACATTGAGAGACTGCACCACTGGGTTTCACAAAACATCTACTACATAAGACCAACACAAAAAATCTGGGTGGCAGGGAAGGGAAGGGAAGGGAAGGGAAGGGAAGGGAAGGGAAGGGAGGAAGGAAGAAGGAGGGAGGAAAACTGGTAATAAGTTATCTAACATTAACTGTAATTCTTTAAAAAAAAAAAAAAAAAAAAAAAAACTAGAAAGAGAACAACAAGAAAAGCCCAGAGTAAGTAGAAGGAAAGAAATGATAAAGATCAGAATGGAAATAAAGGCATAGAAACAAACAAACAAACAAAAAAGTCAATAAAACCAAGAGTTGGTTCTTTGAAAGGATAAACAAGATGGATGAACCTCTAGCCAGGCTCACCAAGAAGCAAAGAGAGAGGATCCAAACAAATAAAATCAGAAATGAAAGAAGTGAAAAAACAACCATTCGCACTGAAATACAAAGTATTATGAAAAAAATACTATGAACAACTCTATTTCAACAAAATGGACAATCTAGATAAAATGGGCATATTGTTGAAAAAAAAATACAAGCTCCCAAAACTCAATCAGGAAGAATAAAAAAACCTGAATAGGCCAATAACTACGGAAGAAATTGAAGCAGTGATCAAATCTTCTGGCAAACAAAAGCCCTGGTTGGGATGGCTTTACAGGGGAATTGTACCAAACATTCAAAGAAAAATTAAAACCTATCCTCCTCGGACTATTCCAAAAAATTCAAGAAGGAATACTTCCAAACTCTTTCTAGGACACCAACATTACCCTAACCCTAAAATCAGATAAAGACCCATATATACATGGGGCCAATATACTTGATGATAATAGATGCTAAAATCCTCAACAAAATTCTAGCAAATTGGATCCAGCAGTACATCAGAAAGATCATGCACCATGACCAAGTGGGATTTCTTCCGGGGATGTAAGAATGGTACAAATATCCGCAAATCAATAATAGTGATATATCACATAAACAAACTGAGAGACAAAAGTCACATAATCATATCAATCGATGAAGAAAAAGCATTTAACAAAATCCAACACCCTTTCTTGATAAAAACTCTCAGCAAAGTGGGAATAGAGAAATCATGCATCAAAATAATAAAAGCCTTAAATGACAAACCTACAGCCAACATCATACTCAATGGGCAAAAAATAAACTCATTTCCTTTAAGAACGGTAACAAGACAAGGATGCCCACTTTCACCACTCCTGTTCAATATATAATACTGGAAGTGCTAGCTGTTCAATATAATACTGGAAGTGCTAGCTATAGCGATCAGACAAGAAGAAATAAAAGGCATCCAAATTGGAAAAGAAGTAAAACTGTCCTCGTTTGCATATGACATAATACTATATGTAGAAAACCCCAAACACTCCATCAAAAAACTACTAGATCTAATAAATGAATTCAGCAATGTAGCAGGACACAAAATTAACACCCAGAAATCTATGCCCTTTTTATACACCAAAAATGAACTCATAGGAAGCAAAACTAAAAAAAGAATCCCTTTTACCATTGCACCAGAAATTTTAAGATACCTAGGAATAAACTTAACTAAGGAGGTAAAAGACTTGTACTTTGAAAACTATGCAACATTGGAAAAAGAGATAGAGGAAGACATAAAACAAATAGAAGAATATACCATGATCATGGATTGGTAGAATCAATATCATTAAAATGTGCATACTACTCAAAGCAATCTACAGATTCAATGCCATCTCCATTAAAATACCAATGAAATATTTAAAAGATCTAGAACAAACTCTCCAAAAATTCATCTGGATTAATAAAGACCCCAAACAACCACAACAATCCTGAGAAAGAAGAACAAAATTGGAAGGACCACAATACCAGATATCAAGATGTATTACAAAGCCATTGTTCTCAAAACTGCCTGGTACTATCACAAGAACAGATATATAGACCAATGGAACAGAACAGTGAACCCAGAAATCAACCCAAGCTATTATGCTCAATTAATATTTGACAAAGGAGGCAGGAGCATACAATGGAATTAAGACAGTCTCTTCAATAAAAGGTGTTGGGAAATTCACCAAATCTTAAAAAAAAAAAAAAAAAAAAATGAAACTAGATCACTAACTTACACCATACACAAAAACAAACTCAAAATGGCTAAAGGACTTACATGTAAGATGGGAAACCATAAAAATCCTACAAGATTCCATAGGCATCAAAATAGCAGACATATGTCGTAGTAATATCTTTACTGACACAGCTCCTAAGGCAATAGAAACTAAGGAGAAAATAAACAAATGGGACTACATCAAAATAAAAAGCTTCTGCACAGCAAAAGAAACCATCAACAAAATAACAAGAAATCCCACTGCACAGGAGAACATATTTGCCAATGTTATCTCTGATAAGGGTTTAATCTCCAAAATTAACAGAGAACTCATACAACTTTACAAAAGAAAGATAAACAATCCAATCAAAAAAATGGGCAAAGGACTTACATAGACACTTTTTAAAAGAGAACATACAGAAGGCCAAGAGACATATGAAAACACGCTCAAAGTCACTGATCATCCAAGAGATGCAAATCAAAACAACAATGAGGTACCATCTCACCCCTGTCAGAATGGCTATCATCAACAAATAACAAATACCGATGAGGATGTGGAGAAAAAGGAACCCTCATGTATTTATGGTGGAAATGCAGACCGGTGCAGCCACTGTGGAAAACAGTATGGAGTTAGTTTCCTCAAAAAGTTAAAAATGGAACTCCCATTTGACCCTGTCATCCCATTTCTAGGAATGTATCGCAAGAAACTAGAAACACCAATCAGAAATGATATATGTACCCTTATGTTCATAGCGGCACAATTCACCATAGCTAAGATTTGGAAACAGCCTAAGTGCCCATCAGCAGATGAGTGGATTAAAAACTATGGTACATCTATACAATGGAAAATTACGCCACTATAAAAATAAAAAAGGAACTTTGACCATTTGCAACATCATGGATGAGCATTATGCTAAGCAAAATAATAAATATCACATGATCTCACTCATATGTGGGATATAATGATCAACATAATTGGATTAACAAAAACAGATCCAGAGACAAATGGCAGGGGTGGTGGGGGCGGGGGTTAGAGAGCAACCAAAGGACTTGTATGCATGCATATTAGCATAACCAATGGACACAGGCATTGGAGTGGTGCGGGCTTGCGCACGGTGGGAATGGCTGGGGGGACAATCAAAAATTTTTTTGAAAAAAGAAAAAACACTATCTGGTGAGAAATAACAACAACAATAACAAAGACAATTTCTAAGCACTACCTGGGCGTTTTAGTATATCACCAGAGAAAATCTTGATCTTCAGAGTTCACCATTGTAGATCATATTTAATAAAAACAATAAAAATAAGGAAACTAAAATTACCTGCTCTTCCCTCTCCTTCTCTTTGGTCTTACTTCTGCAGACTTTAGAGCAGGCGGCATCCTGAGAAGGAAAGGCAGAGACTGGGTGCAGTGGCATGCTCATTCCAGCCTCCTGTCTGGTCGTCTTCTTCACAGAAGAGAGTCTCCAGTGGCAGAGGCATTTTGGGCCATGGACTTAAAGCTGAGAGCGAGAAGAGAAGTATAACCGAGTGAAAACCCCGCAATGAAACCTTGCCATCTGCAACAACGTGGACGAACCTACAGGACATCGTGATGAGTGAAATAAGTCTGACAGAGAAAGATGAATGCCATATGATTTCACTCATAGGTGAAATATAAAAATAAATAAACAAACAAACAAACAGAATAGAAACACTCATAGATTCAGAGAACATTTTGACAGTTGCCAGGGAGGATGGGAGAAAAAGGTGAAGCAATTAAGAAATACAAATTGGTAGTTACAGAACAATCATGGGGATATAAAGAACAGCATAGGGAATATAGCCAATAATATTATAGTAACTGTGTATAGCATAAGATGGACATTCGATTTATCAAGGTGACCACTTTGTAAGTTATATAATGACTAATCACTGGGTTGTACACCAAAAAGTAATATAACATTTTATGTCAACTACAATGGAAAAATAAAAATCATTTAAAGTAAAAAAAAGGGAGAAGACAACCATAGGACAGAATAATTATTTTTGCAAACCATATAACTAATAAGGGACTTGTATCTCAAATATATAAAGGACTGTTACAACTCAATAATAAAATGATAACCCAATGAAAAATGATTGCTCAACATTGTTAGCCAACAGGAGAACTTAAACCAAAACCATGAGATACCACTTTAATTATGGGTAATTACTAAAACTGAGAAACACTAGCAAGAATGTGGAGAAATTGAAACCCTTATTCACCACTGGTGGGAATGTATGTAGCTGCTTTTGGTAAAGTCTGGCCATTCCTTTAAATGTTAAATATAGTGTTACCATGTGAACCAGTAATTTCATTCTTGGGTATATTCACACCCAAAGAAATGTAAGTAATACCCACACAAAAACATACACATGGATGTTCATAGCCAAAAACAGAAATAACTGAAATGTCATAAACAGATGAAAGGATAAATAAAACTGAGTTATGTATATAATAGAATATTATTCAGTAATAAAAAGAAAAAAAAACATGAAAAATGCTACAACATGGTTTATAAACCGGCAGTCGGACATCCCTTGAGGGGTCCCAGATTGGAGAGGGTGCAGGCTGGGCTGAGGGACCCACCCCCATGCACAAATTTCATGCACTAGGCCTCTAGTATCCTAATAAAGCTGTTTAAAAGAAGAATATGGAAATCATATAGGTTAATATGGATAAAACCCTATTTCTCCTTTGTGCTATCCTTAATGTGAGTTATCCAGATAAAATGGACAAATTGTTATGCTATCACTGTTCTAGTTTTGAGAAAGGCAACAGGAAGAGTGCATAATCAGCAATCAGAAATCCAAGTACTGACTCTATTAAATACTAAAGTGATGTTGGGCAAACTGATACATTTCATCTCCATCTGTAAAACAGAAAGTAATCATCTCTGCTCAGCTTCCAGGGTTATTGTGGAGCTCCAATAAGACTGGACACATGCACAAATGGACAGGTTTTAACACCAGCACACTGCCCAGACTGCCTATTCAGGCATCTGCAGGATTCCTCTCGTGGCCTCACAAAAGCCTATTTGTTTGTTTGCTTTCCCCTGTCTTCCCACAGCTCAGACTGACACAAGATTTAAACAATTAGGACCTCAAACCTTTTCTGACAGCTATTAAGAAGCTCACAGCATGACTCTGTAAGGGGAGAGATAGAAAGCTCTGGTCCATATGACAGCCAGCGCAGCCTAACAATCAAGCTCTTCCCTGTGTTTCCAGATGGCCAAGTGAACAAAGGACTCAGCCCAGCCCCACAAGGATGCTGAGACAAAGATACCAGTCACCCAGGCCTGCACGCCTCCCGCAGCCTTGCTCTTAGGGTGCCAGGCTCCAGCAGTGCCCTCTCCTCCCTCTGTGAGGTGCTGGATCTCAGTATCATGACTGGCACTCAGAATAAATGAGTTTAAGTTAAGCCTGTCTCTATCAGAAGCATGTCGCATATAAAAAAGGAGAAGCCTGTGCATAGCAACTAGCAGACAGCAAGAAAGAGAAAGCAGGAGTGCGGAGACCAACTGTAACACACAGCACTGAATGACAGAGGCCACACCAAAGCAGTGAGTGGGTGGATGGACAGAGACCATCTGAAAAGGAGGACTGACATGACCCAGTCAGGGTCTAAGCCACACCCAGGTTCTAGCCGTACATTTACAAGCCCAGGGTATGAGGGGAGCAGGGCACAAGGGGGGGTCACCGTGGCACAGTGAGCTTGACATGCCTGTGGGACACCCAAAACATGTGCACAGTGTGCAGTGAGCACCAGCATACTGAGACCTGGACACCCAGGAACAGACCCGACTCACAAGGAAAACCTGCAGATCAGTCGTGTGTGTCATAGATGCTATTGACAAATGATGAACCCATTGTCCACAAAGAATGTAACACCTTTTAGAAAACAGCAATGGAGGGTCCCTAATTTTTTAAAAGCACCTCTCTCTCAAAATCTAACATCACACTCACAGAGCAAAACTCTTAGAGGCATTTTAATTAAACCTAAAATCAAAATAATCACATCACCACTGCTATTATTTAATATATACATTTTTTTCTGCTGTGAAAAGTTAATAATAAAAAGAAAACTTTGTAGTATAAGGGAAGAGTTCAAAGGAATTTTCCAAGATCTAATGGAATCAGATTAAAACGAACATTTGTATAAAATCAGTAACTATGTCAGTGTAAGAACAGAGTATACACTGGGAAGCAGGAGAAAGAAACCTCATTTAACATGAAGTGCCCGCCAACTGCAGAGCCCGCCCGTGGCAAATGCTGCGCCACCAAGCCTGCTTCCTTCCAGCGGACTTCCTTCCAACAGCCTCCTCCTCCTCCTCTCTGAAGGAAGCACCATTCCCCTCCTTTTCTTGCTGGACTGGCCTGATGTTTCCAATAGCTTGCTTGCCCCAAATGGCAATTCTTTGCTCTCCCTGAATAAAACCATTTTGCTGGTGAAATAACTGGCTGTTTTATTTTTAAGGCTGACAAAACACATTAATGTCACCAACATTCCTGTACACCAACAATACAAAAAACATAAGGTAATTAGAGATAAATAATTTTAAAGCTTAAGAATGTTTAATGAAAAATGTTTTAGTGACTTTAGTATATATTTGAATACTCTAATAAGTTGTGTTCTCTCCAAATTAAAGCATATATTTAATGTAATTCTAATCAAAGCCTAAGCAAGATTTTTTACTTGATGAAATGATTCTAAAATTATGCATAATAATGAGATAATTAAATAAAAATGCTAGGGAAGAACCAATAGGGAAATGAGAAAAATTAAAACATTAAAACATTAATCATTACTAAACAGCAAGGTATAGTTTGTTATAAGACAGAAAACATAGTCCAGAAACTGGCTGCATTATACAAGAAGAATATAATAGCCAATAGAAGAAAAAGCACAGAATTATAGGAAAGGAACAAAATACTGAATAAATGGTATTGGGATCACTGGTTAACAATTTGGAAGGAAAAAGGACATACTTCATTCATCAAAATAAATTCTGATGGATATAAAAGTTTAATGTAAAAAATAAAATACAATTGCTAATGAACATATTAAGGAACTAAAAAGAAATTGTCTTTTTAAGCTTAGAATTTGAAGGGGAGAGGGTCACAAAAGAAAAGGGTTATATAGCACAGCCAGAGTGGCTCAGTGGTTAAGCACTGACCTATAAACCAAGAGGTCACGGCTTGATCCTGGTCAGGGTTAATACCCGGATTGTTGGCTTGATTCCCACTGGAGTGCAGGAGGCAGCTGAACCATGATTCTCTCTCATTGATGTTTCTCTCTCTCTCTCTTTCTCCCTTCCTCTCTGAAATCAACAAAAATATTTTTTTTAAAAGGGTTATAGATATGATTCTGTAATTAAAAGCAAAAATAAATGACAAGCAAAAAAAAAAAGACTGGAAAATATTTGTACAATAGAGGACACAAAGTAATATAAGAAGTTAAATAGCTTTAAAAATACACATTAAAATCCCAATAAATAAATGGTGAGGGCTTAGAAACAGCCATTTCACAAATGATGAGTAGCATGGATCCTCACTTAATATTTAATAATCAAGGAAAGGCAACAGTTCAGGGAACCACTTTTTCCTTTACAAATTTTTACAAAAATAAAGTAAAGGCTGTCATTGACCAATCTGGACTGAGTCTGTGTTCTCATGATCCTTATATGATAGAATCACACGCTCAGAATGCCCACCAGGGAAACTTATAAGCCAGAGAGCTCAGAAACTTTGGGAGAGCTTACCTTTGGGAAGCTTACCCTGAGAAAATATATAAAAATCTACAAGCCCCCACATTTTCAATATAACATTATTTACAACAAAGAAAAACAGAAATACCCTTAATTTCCCCAAACTGGGTAAAAGTTGAGTGAATTGTGGTGCTAGTCCAATCAAAGGGATATCAAGTATGCATTAGAAGCCAGAAAAATATGGGCATGATAAAAAGCAGGTGATAAAATTTTACATGTATTATAAATATTGGAAGGGAATTCATAAAAAGCAAATAGGTTAAATAATATGCCCATATATTTTCACTTCTATATCTAGACCTTTAGTAATGATATATTACTTTTATAGTTTATATATATTTTTAAAGAGCTAAAATTAAAAACTTGTCATTCCACATTGGTTGGTAATGGTCAGAATTTCATTATCTAAACTAATAAAAGGGTAATATGCTAATTAGACCAGATAGACTGGACATCTTCCGGACAAAGCCATGGTGATGGAGGCTGAGGCAGAGGCAGTTAGGGGCAATCAGGCCAGCAGGGGAGAGAAGTTAGAGGTGATCAGGCCAGCGGGGGAGCAGTTAGGGACATCAGACAGGCAGGCAGGCAGAGGGGGTTATGGGGGTAGGCAGGAGAGTGGTTAGGGGATATCAGGT